CAATGCATGTACAGATAATATCTAACGGCCCTTGGTATCATTCCAACAAATAAATATCTATGCTTGTTGCGACGCATTACAAACGTTGTCTTTATTAACAGATCTTTGTAGATCTATATTAGTTCAAGTGGCTAATCTAATAATGGACACATCGTGCCTTTAGAATTATAGAGACACATTTCGAAATTTTTGGATTTCGTCTTTAATTCAAAAATGGACCTAGAACGACCCTTTTCAGCGACTCTTAGTAATCAAATGACCAGAAGTAGCTTATAAAGGGACAAAGCTATCCATCGGTCTCTTTCACTCCGTCCCCCTCCTCAACGTTTTTTCGGTTTGAGAACTTTAATCGATGTTTTAAAAAAAAACGTATTTTTGATTTGGGTCTTTATAATTCTAAAGGTGCGACATTACATATACGAATTTTTGTAACTTACATTTTTCATACTTAGGGATTCATTTGATGCCACTCTTATACCAAAATAAACTTAAAACAAACAAAAGGAATCCGTCCGACGGGGGACACATCAAAGGGAAAACAAAATTGTTATTTTTATTTAATTCCGAGCATTTTCATATTTATCTACCTTTTAAACCTTCTCTGGATTTCCACAAACAATTTAAGACCAAAATTAGTCAAATCGGTTCAGCCCTTCTCGAGTTTAACGTACAGCAATTCATTTATATACATATATACTTATAAATTAGTTAACTGTGTCCCAAATAATTCACGTTTGTACAGATACACATGTATGAATAAATAAAGTTTCAATGTTATATTTAATAATAACGTAATTATATCATGCAAGGAAGGAAAGGGAAGTCTTCAAGCAGTCCCATGGTTAAAAGATAAAAATATTCATAAGACTCATGAAGGAATTCAACTTAAATCTCGACTATATTTTGTCATTTTGTATACAAAGTACTTTCCCCGTACGTGTTACGCATTTTTATGTGTCCATTAACTTAAAATAATGCATATGATTCCTCCTTTAAAATAATATTTATAAATTGAACAATTTACCCGTTTTCCTTGAATTTAAAAAGCTTCCTGAGGTTGCTAGCCTTGCTACGTAGCTTTTGTTCTTTTTGGCCTATATAAAACGAACCCAATAGCAGCAGCAATTTGAGTGACACTCTATATAATTTAGCCACACCAATGTAATTTTATAGAATATTTACAAGTAATATGGGTATAAACCATTTTACCGGTTTACTTTGATTGTTTTAAATGATATTCATCTATATAGTATTTACTTTATTATTCGCCAGAAAATCAGCAAACCACTGCGTTTCTCGGCGGATCTTCTCAGTGGGTCGCAATTCCGATCCGGTAGTAGATTTAGCGAAGCGCTCGTCTTGCTATGACTAGTGTTAGCAATTCTCTCAGGTTGATCCCGTGAGTTCATCTACTGTCTGTGCGAAGGTGGAATAGCCCCTTAGGCTACCAACGATTAGGTAGGAAAAATGAAAAAAGTTCGTCAGTGGTAGACATAATTATTAAAACTTTTAGTGTTTAATCTCGCGTTTTTATATTATTCTCGATGTTTTCAATGCTTTACAGTTTTCGTGGTCACGGACGACTCAACTTTATTTACATATTCACCAATTTGGAATTCTATAAATTTACATACGTCTTGATAATTTATTCATATTTCTGAATAAATTATCAATTGCGTATTTTTTTGGCATTTAAATCGTTGCGCTCAAAATATAATATTATACTCAAATTGTTGAATGCGACCTGGGTAAATACTTTCTCCTGATAATCTCATAGAGCAACTTGCTAAGAATCTGTATTATCGGTACCTATCTCGGTCGTTTTCACGAGCAGAACTAATTAAAAGCTTTTATTTCGTGAATCACGTTTTCTATTTCTGTACTTATACTATTTTGTAGTATTCTTAAAGTCTAATTTTAAATGCATTTTTGTAGAAGTACCTAAACTAGTTTTACCAAGTAAGTAGCGGAAACTTATGATTTATTTTTGTAACAAATGAATTTGAGGAATTTAAGGCAATAAACAAGCAAGTTCCTATTAATCGAGTATACGTCGAGTGAGTGGTCAGCGACGCTCATGTGCATCAGAGATGCCAAGGGCAAGGCTGATTCACCGCCTACCGTTTTAATTTCAAAACTCATTCGAAGAATTACACATCATAGGGCATTTCATTCTAATGTTTGTAGCCTCTAGGAACCACTTTATGCCAGGGGGGACCAAAAGCGTATCTAACTAAAATAATAAAAATAAGATTAACGCTTTTTTTTATAAAACAATCTAGCATATTCAAATGTAAATTCACTTAATTTTTTTCTTAATCAAATGAAAATCATTGTAAAGTTCAAGCCTATACAGTAAATCGCTTTACTCGCAACAGTATTTCACATGTTCATTGTAAACTAGATTTCAATAAATATTGAGTTCTGAGCGTTTTAAATATACCTATATTCGATTCGATGGGAATCTATTACGTCACTTAACTATGAAAGTTTCATAGTTCTCGCATTGTACAGTTTCAGCTTAGTATTTAATCATTGTAACGTTTTGTTTCAAGCAGTCGACCTTTTTGACCCTTTTCATTGTTTCATATCATGGTATACTCAATTATAATAATCGATTTCACTGTTTAAGCGCGAAAATCGAACAGAAGGTCAATTCACTATCACCACAATATTAAAAGTAAAATAAAGTCATAATCTACTTAAATACGTGGATTTGCAATGTCAACGGACTCCGGTCATCTATAAACTAAACCATATGATCCGTAGACGTCCTAACCGTGTAGAGCAATTAAAAAAAGTATTAAAAATATGCATATGGATGCATTTCACATTGCGTGACTTAAAACATGAAATCGGTGATTGTGAACCGATTCAATTGTGTTCCTGTTGGCTATATGCGACTGTTTTGCTGCAATGCGCATCGTGATATTGTTTATGAACCGTGTTTCTGGCACAAACATTTGATCGTGACGACATTAATCACAACGCCAGTGCCAGTTGTAGATGGAAAAATATAGAAATTGTCGTCAGCGGCAACGTCTTTAAAAATATATTTTACTCCTCACAGAAATTAGTTACGGTCGAGATTATCTTGAATCATTTTCCATATATATGCTAATGCAGTTTCCGTTGATATCACACAATACTGACATTCATGACGATTAATGGACAATGCAAACTCATGTCTTTTATCGCAAGGCCGTTGACGTGGACATCACCCCAAGACCTTCACAAATTTTGTCGGTAATTAACAAATTGAACACAATGCTAAAACCGTCCAAAACATTTCACACCGAATTATACGAGACAATGCTTTGTATTGCCGTTCTCGATAGCATTTATCCGTTAATTCGGACATGCCGTAAATAATAAACATTAAATAGGCATTGTGTGCATATCGTTTGGGCTTTCGAATAAGTTCCAGCCCCACCTGCAAGTGAAAGGAGCCGCACTGAATAAGTAAGTATCGGCATTCTAGGATAGCATTGATTATTATCGTGTCTGAAAGTGGACCATTTAGGATACTTACCTATTTTGCATACGAAATCTAGCGTGACCATTGGCAACAATGAAAGGTCATTAAATCTATTATTAGTAAGTTTATGTACCGTAATTTATTTTTATCAATGAACTTTTCACGCGTCAGTTCACGTTACGGTACACTTTGTCTGCCACGTTTCGATTCGTAGGCATTAAACTAACTCAAATAATTTTTTTACACAATAACCGTGAGCGTTCTACAAATCACCTTAAAAATACGACCGTGAAATGAGACAATGAACAGCATTATTGAATTACGTTGCACCTCGAAACTTTCATTCGTTTTACACTAGCCATTAACACGAAATAAAATATTCTGTTCTAACTATGTAGAATGAATGCACTCGTTAAACTATAGGCAATGCGCGTGATTCAAGTCATGCGAAGGTAAATGAGATACCGCGATTGAAAAATTGAATTTTTAATAATATATTTTTCAAAAGCAATAAATATCATGTGTGGCACCCGTTTTGAAGCTATTAACATCCTAAATGAATGAAAAAGCTATTATGTTGATTTGTTGTGAAAATAAATCTAAATCGATTCATTTTGCTATAGCAGTACAATACACGATGTTTGCAATTCCAAAGTATAGTATTAGTATTAACTGTTAGCTAGTTATACATTTTATTCAAATAATGAATTAATTTACATGATACAGTAATTGAAAATTTTGAATCTCGGTATATTATTAGCCTATAAATAAGCTAATAATATTGTAATGACAGTATTCCGGTGTGCAATACAATAGTTCGTACAGTAACAATTGTAATCTAACTGTGTATTCAATAACTAAGCCGGTATTGGTGGTGGTCTCCCGGTTTCAAACTTAACCATCGTAATCGAAATATAATGAAGTAGGCAAGCTAGAAAAAGTTTCTTCAACGGATAAAATAGGATCTTGAAGGAATCAGTTCTTCTTCCACATTAGCTAACTTCGTCCAGTTAAGTCAAACAGTTAGATGGGTTAACGATCTCACGGCCCAAAGTGGTTACTGGTCCATATACATCACAATATGCATGCCATTTAAGATATGAGGTTGAACTTTCAATTTTGCTGTATAATTTGTACTATAAAGGTACCTACTATAAATTAGCTGTTCTTTTTCTAGTAGGCATTTGTGTTTTAGTTATCGTAAGTTTCACTCTGTACTTGTTGGTAAGCATTATTAAAAAGGTATACGGTCTGTATGTTTAGGTCTGTATTTTTCTATGTATGTATTTTAACCGCAACTACAATTTGTTTACTTTCTAATTTTGTATGTACAACAAATTACTAATGGCATCGATGTTTTCATATCTACTTACTCATATAATAAAATATATCTTAACGATTTCATCTACAGCTCAAAAATTCCCGTTGGCTTATTTATGCTCATAAAATAGGGCTGTGCACTTATTATAAGATATGTATTATATATGAATAAAAAATAAAGGTTTTTTAATATTCGTTGTAAAAGTTTAGCATTTTTATTCTACTCATTATTTTTCGTTTCTTGTCTTTAACAGTACTTCTTACGCTGGGAGACGACTTTGGATATGATGGAATCACAGGTAAGATTTTACATTTGTATTTATTTATTCGTGTTCTTGTGTAACTTTAAGTAATTTCAAGAAACATTCCTACGCAGCAAGTCTTAATTTATCTCTGACAAATCTCACTTCATTAGAGAACTATTTCTTATTGCGATTTATCGTTCGCTATTCAGAATAGCCGGAAATAAAATGGGGTCGTTGTAGAAGACGTGAGAATGTGTTGATTTCAAAATATTTTACGTTAAACCACGTTTGAATGCGTAGTGTCCATATATGCTAGTTTTCAACGAAAGCAGATGAAATAGACTCTGCGTCAATTGTGACTTTTGGGAATTTGGTTTTTCTTGCTAGAATTCTAATTTAAAACTCGAAGGATGCACCTTTAGCGGATGTTGATTTTCTATGTTTAAGAAAACACATTATCTTAAACTAAAATTTTAATATGGTTATTGTTGATTTACACAATGGAATCAACGTGTTATTATTCCATCATCAAAATTAAATGTCATTATCGTTTTTTCTTGTAGAAATACGTTCATTTCTAAAATTACCTTGTAAAATTTGGTTGTTTTGTTTTTGTCGTAATTTAATAAATTTTGCAAAAAAGTACTAGGCATAAGCCATAAGCAATAAAGAGCTCTAGAACTGTGTATACCTACTACATAAGAACAACATCTATAAAATACGAATTTTCTTTGTCTATAGGACCAAATTACTGGGGCGAGAGATATCGAGAATGCGCAGGAAAGCACCAGAGTCCTATCAATATCAACATTCTGCATGTTAAACATATAATTCTACCAGATATAGAGTTCATCGGCTTTGATGACTCGATCGACGATGTACACGTCACCAACAATGGACACACAGGTTAGATTATAACATCCCTCCATACTCTTCAAGAATTGTTTTTTATAATATACGTATTGATCGATATATTATCGGTTTATGTTCGCTACTAAGTATTTTTATATTGTCTTAAAGGTTGTTAAAGAAGTCTGTTATTCTAAAAACGGTAATGAGGTCGTAACTGGTTTAAAAGGCCTCGTAAAGCAATGTATCGATCTATAGTTTTAGATATTAATGTGAAGCGCGATGCTTATTTCTAATAGTAGACAAAAAATGTCGCGAAAATGCTGGAAGGCGACTATTAATTTGGAATACTCTAACTTGTCGTATACTTCAAGTAAGAAGTCGTCGAGACCTGACTGATGGGACGTCTAGTGTACCTACGTGGATTATTCGATGCCAATATTTCGGTTAAAATCCCCGTATAATTGTAAAATAGGTAATCTTATCGCTAAAAGACATCTCTTTTAGACAACCACTTGGTATGATATAGTAAGTATCGTAAGCTTGCACATGTTGGAACCACCTTGCTGCCTATTTGCACCACGAAGTAGTAAGTGCGGTTCAAATAGTCTGACAGTCGTATATACAATTCATATATGTATTGGACTGTTTTATTATGTGCTGCCAATAAGCTCAGGCTACCAGTTAACACAAGATGAACCGTAAGCTTGTTTATAACTAATTTAGTAAATAAATAAAATTAAAGCAAACGCATATCTACATAAGGAATGCACAGAATATGCAACGTGCATCCTTATCTTTTTGTGAATTGTTTTGTTGTTTTGAATTGTAAAAACATCCTTATGTTTTCACAATTGAGAAAGACAGGAAATCAATACTTCAGACCTAAATAGGATACAAAGAATTCATTGAGGATTCATTAGGTATGGTTAATACTTCCGTGGATTTTGTATACCTACGTAATAAATTATTAAGGTAAATGGTACAAGACACAGATGATTCACTATTTACGTATATAAAATTGTATTTGTACAACGGTAATCTGCTTTATGCGGGCGGCGCAGGGTCGGCCATTATACATGGGGAGATCTGTGTCCAGCATTGGACGTCATGGACTGATAAGAAAATATAGGTATGCATTAGTGCTAGTAAGGTTTTAAAATAACTTTTGATAGGTGATATAAATAAATTCACAAATTCAGAGTCAGTTGATCGATCGATTATAGTATTTTTGTTTAAAACGAAAACAGTACGACTATGAACACACTAACGAAAATAAAATTTATAGGACATACGATTCTAAATTGGTAATGGCTCCTCCCAATAGAATAGGCATTCATATAGAATGGTACTCTAGATGGTAAATATGTAATCCCGCTTACTTTTATAGCATTAGCTCCTTTGATTAACTAATAAAAGAGTAATAAATATGCCTTCTTGTCAATCTACTTCATACAAATGATCGAACCAAATTGCCGTCAAGTCCAACAATTTGCATACTTAAACGTCCGAGACCTAATAGGTCAGAGGCTTGGTTTAGTCATGAGACTGTGCCGTGGTTCTATCCTGAGGCTGATGCTTTATTTCCTAGTAATATGTAACAATTTTGTTGTCACTAATGACTTCCGCAATGTAGAAATAACATCGTGTCACAAAATCGAATCCGTTTGAAGGATTGCATCGCCGCAATTCAGAATTTGATTTGTTGGCAGCATTCACGTTGCTAATCCGAGATAATCGGTAACTGCTGATAATACAGTTGTCTATTACTGAATAGTCATGCTACTAAATGGGTAAACGCTCACCTATACAAAATTATAAAAAGTAGAAATTTTGGAAGTAGGTATCTAGCCACTATTTCTGAGTATATTTCTAAATCTATTTGTTTAATTTATGAATTAAATAAAGTTATGTTTTGATTTCAGTATTAATTGAAGTGAAGAATGAACCTCATCCGAGGGTTCGCGGTGGGCCTTTAGATGGTGATTACATCTTCAGCCAGATGCATTTCCACTGGGGAGATAACGACACGTTTGGCTCTGAAGATACTATCAATCATAGGAGGTAAATAATTTATTTACTTAATAAAAACTAGAGAACGTCAGCATTAAGAAAATTGAAGGTTGTCTGTTATTCGATATTCTTAAGTAGGTACAGAATAAAATTATGGTTGTTTTATAACTTTAGCAATAACATTGTTTTTTTTTTCTGTTTGTTTAAATATATAAAAATGCTCTTGTATCTGAAATATTCAAGGTTTTGTATGAAAAAAAAAAAAAACTGTATAATTAAGGAGTGGCAATACTTTATTGAAACGACTCCATATTATGTAGATAAATACATTCATACTTCTACTGATAAAGCTTAATCAACGACCTGCGATGCGAACGGGTAACTGTTACCCATAAAATAAATATCATTATCCGGTTATCCTGAATTTTACGTACCGAAGCCTATAGTCATCACAATGTGTATACTGTCACTGACCTTGAAACTTGAGCTACAAGTCTTACTTGTTTAGTATAACGGCCGTCCCACCATTCAAATTGGTACGCATGACTGCTTGGCGGCATAAATAGGCAGGATGCTAGTATCTTTGTAGACTTACAATGCGCTCTGCCATTAAGTAACCAGTAAGTAATGTATCGGATAAAAATGAACGGATGCAAAAACATAATTTTCAAGGTAACTAATAATTTTAGTAGTTAGTAAAATCATTGAAATTTCATTGTAGTGCCACAATAATCAATGTAATTGTACGCGACAAATTCAAAATATTCGTAACGTAGGTACGTAGTGCGAAATTAAGTAACATACAATGAAAGCAGTATGGAAATGAACATAAAAAAATATTCTAGTAATTTACCTACATCATTATGTCGGGCGTTCCCAAAGTTTACTCTTATTAGCAGACAATACCAACCAAACCAACCCATTCGCCCAAATCGTTAGCAATGGCAATCATAGTTCCTGAACATACTCGTTCTTTGCATATTGTAGATAGTACGTACCTATGATGAAGTTCTTTTTCTGTCATGAGGGTATGTTTACAATTGCACTGGTTATCTTATATCTTTAAACGAGCAATTCTTGTATATTAATATATACTTATATAATCTGAATCTCGGAAACGGCTCCAATGATTTTCATAAAATTTAGTATACAGGGGATTTCGGGGGCGATAAATCGATCTAGCTACGATTTATTTTCAGAAAATGTTGTTTTATTCGTGTTTTCAATAATCAACACTTCCCGACATCTATTGGCGAATAATAATACTGTTTTTCTTAATTGAGGGCAACTAACAGCTTTAAAGACACAACAAGATGGCGTTATCAAAAAAAAACCGAGCAAAGCTTATCTAATTTAATTGAAATCTGGACGATTTATATTAAAAAAAGAAGCTTTCGTCTAAGCCAGTAATAAAATAAATGACTTTCAAACAGCCGGCTACGACCACACTTGCAAGCCATGAGCGTAAATTAGCGTTGCATTAATTATTCGAACACTAGAATTATTGTAATTTCAAACGTGAAGTAGATATATGAAACGATTCCAATTTAGATAATATCAAAGACGTACAATAAAATTTTATTCACAAGAAATCTTATTTCTTTGTATTCTAGAACCTTGGTTTTACACTTTGTACCTACCTAGTCAAGTTGCGGGCCACGCGGAGTACGTTTTAAAAAATAGAAATTATATTTTATGAACGTTTATTCCGTACCAAATCTGACTTAAGACTAACTTATTACTAATCTTAATCTAACGGGAAGGGCATCGGACCACCGGTCCAGCGGATGCCGTCGTCTGCGAATTCCACAATTCAGCAGTTAAGTTCGCCGAAGANAAAATAGAAATTATATTTTATGAACGTTTATTCCGTACCAAATCTGACTTAAGACTAACTTATTACTAATCTTAATCTAACGGGAAGGGCATCGGACCACCGGTCCAGCGGATGCCGTCGTCTGCGAATTCCACAATTCAGCAGTTGAGTTCGCCGAAGATCTGCCTTTGCAGACATGCGTCAGCAGAGGTGCCCGACGTAACTACCTACCTTTTTTATTTATTGTAACGATACCTCCAAAAATGTTTTACCTTTGACAATGTAATCTACATTTCGTTATAAAATCACCAGATCTCAATTTTCAAATATCGTTAGCATATTATTATGATTGTACCGCTAATGACACGTACATAAGTGTGATTGTGAATTTTTCTTTCCAATTTAATGTGCTAAGCTTGAAATTACTTTGTTAACCGTATGCACAGATGGTACCTTTGCAGTATACCATACCAGATATCATAGTACTTAATCCTACCGCGAATATTTCAAATTGGAATGCGTTTAAAGGATAGAACAGTGCTATTGAGAATTCGAGCACGTTATTATAAGCACTATCATGATTATATTTATTATTTGATTATATTTATAAACACATATAAGCCGATGTGGAGGATTCGTCAAGCATGTCTTTGAAGCATTTCCATGTTGGTGCTGATATATCATCTGGGAGTCTGTTCGATTCTCTGATACGTTTCTTAAAAATGTTGCAATGGGTTTCTATATGAGATGTTCTGCTTAATCGTTTTTGTTGTTGTGCAAGATAATATTTTTTGTGAGGGTTTTGCCTATATTTAATACAGTACGCTTTAATTTAGTCAATGACAGCTACTATTGCTTTTTTGATATGTTGATAATTTGGCAATATTCTTAGAGTATTAAATACTAAGGAACACTTCTTCTTTAGTAACTTATTATGACTAGATAATCGCTGTTGCTAATATGCGTGGTAATATTCCATGAAACTAATCAACTTTCCTTCCTTATATAATACATAATACAAAGTCTATTGTAAAGATTTTTTATTATTTGTTATTTTAGCATACTGAAAAACCAATTGGTTTATTAGTTTATTCAATTATTATTTATTGATTTATTAAACCAATTGGGTGTAAATGTCTATAAAAAATTCACTTACTTTGTCAATTTTAGTTGTTTGGTCAAGGGGCCAACGTATACTTGACAATCTGAAATCATCAGTGAGATAACAGTATTTTCTAGGGACGCCTCTTGATGGTGTCGATGAGTTTTTTCCGGTTCTTGTGAAACATTTGAGTGTTAGGGGCGGTATATACACCCTTGCAAAATATATGTTCCTTAGTGTTGTATAGCGAAAAGTATTCTACTCGGGTATCGTAGTATTATTTACTTTCATGATTATTGTACAGTTGTAAATTACACGTGCTGCATATATTAGTACATTAACTCCCTATTTATTCTGTCTCGTCTATAGAATATGTACACAGATATAATGATCGAACTAAAAATTATTATGTCGCGACGACGATGTGTTTTGGTTATCATAATGAATGCGGCTGGTTTTTTTTTCTTGTTTATTGCTTATATGAGTGGATGAGCTCACAGCCCACCCGGTGATAAGTGGTTACTGGAGCCCATAGACATCCACAACGCAAACCCACCCTGCCACCCACCCTGAGATATAAGTTCTAAGGTCTCAAGTATAGTTACAACGGCTGCCCCACCTTTCAAACTGAAACGCATTACTGCTTCACGGCAGAAATAGGCACAGTGGTGGTACCTATTCGCGTGGACCCACAAGAGGTTGATTTTTATTACACTATGTTATTCCTTCACCGTGGAAGTCAATCGTGAACATTTGTTGAGTACGTATTTCATTAGAAAAATTGGTATCCGCCTGAGATTCGAGCACCGGTGCATCGCTCAACACGAATACACCGAACGCCTTATGGCTTGTACTTTAAGCTCAATTCATATATTATTTATGTATTTTATTGGAAGTTCTTTTTCACCCTGACCAGTTCTCGGGGCTGGTACTTCACGTAGTTTTTTAAGTTGTTGACATGGGCTCATGTTCAACTAAATTATGATCGATTTGGCCATCTTACTTTTATTCTTCAAGAAACCTACTGCTAGAATTGCGTTTGTTATCAAATTGCTTTTAGTGGACGTGGCTTAGCATTATCACTCAGGTCACATAAAGTTACAAATTTTAGTCTTAGCAATATCAATTTGTGTATTGTTTCTTTATTTCATTAATGATACATAATTGGGGGTATATGACAACCGGTTACGGGTTCTAAATATGGTTCCCTATACTTTTTTATTTTTTATGATTGAAGGATTACTGGTGGCCCGGAGGCCTTTCCAGTTTCACCAGGACAGGTGGGCGAGCAAAGGCTCAGCCAGGAGGGGTGGGATTTGCTAACAGCTACCCGAAAGGTTCCCTATACTACGGGAGCTAAAGACTAATATACGTGTATACGTACATACCTACATACTATTGTACTTTTACAAATTTAGATATTTAACACCCAGACAAAGAGCAAACAAACCTTTTCGATACGCGAATGGGAATCGGACCCACAATCCGCGGCCCAGCAGCTAGGATCGTTAACAGTTTTATTAGTAATCTCATCTCCTTATAATTATATAAAATAGTAAAGTAGCCTCATAGTTTCAGGCACAAATAATGCCGATCCATTGCTTTGATGCTACCTAAAAATGGAATAAACCAACAAGCACACTTTCGTATTTATGATTACAATTTTAAAATTATCTTTCAGTTTTCCTATGGAATTGCACATGGTGTTCTTCAAAGAAGAGTATGGAACCCCAACCAACGCAGTGAAGCATCACGATGGATTAACAGTGCTAGCATTTTTTTACGAGGTAGGCCCTATTCATTGGAATGAAATAAAACTAGTTTATTAGTATTTATTTTCGATAAATAATGTTGTATTCATAAAATTCGGTATCTCCAGAAACCGGAAATAGAATTTGTAAGACCGTTGATAAAAAAAATCTTAGTCGCATACTTTATTGCTGAAGGTCGTGTCCCTGAAAGCCCTTCGTGGCTCTTTGTACCATCAGCTTCCATTTCCTTCGGTTTTCGGCTTCTCTCAGAGCGGTCGCAACAGAGAGTCCAGTGAGCGCAGTTATCTGATCTGACCAACGTTTTGGTGGCCGGCCGGCAGGTCTTTTCCCTTCTAACTTGCCCACCCCAGTCAATTTTTCAAGGTTATCTGGTGGCCGCTGAGCAATGTGACCAAAGTAACCAAGAACCTTCTGGTAGCAAATCGTCGACAGTCTCGTTTCTATGCGAAGTTGTTCGAGGACAGATTTGTTTGTTCTCTTGGCGGTCCAGGGTATGCGGCGCATTCTTCGCCTTCACCACATCTCGAAGGCTTCTATTTTTTTACGTTCTGTTGTTCGAATCGCCCACGACTCTGCACCATAGAGACAAATCGAGAAAACCAACGTCCGGACTAGTCTCATCTTGGTAGCATTGGAGACTTTTCTGTTCTGCCAAATACGCGTAAGCTTGCTCATCGCAGCTTTGGCCATTTGAGTCCTTCTCTTGATCTCCCGTTCGCTTCCGCCCTGGTCAGTAAGTAGAGATCCGAGGTAAATAAGCTCTCCAACAAATTCTACATTCGATTATTAATGTTAAAAATAGTGGTTCCATGACTGATGAATGGGTTCATTTTAGTTTTAAGATTGTGGTTCGCTACCTATTAGTATTAGTGGCGTATAAATAGCTGTTCATTTAAATATGATGTAAAATCTGCTCATTATAAATAGCGCAGTCTCAAAAGTCTGACCAGTGTGTGTTGCTAGTTGCCGTCTCAGTACCATGTGTGGTCGGGCCTTATCAGAAGACTCAAGGTTTCCGTTAGAGAAATTGAGAGGGTTATGCCCTAAGCTTCCTTGCGAAATCAAATCAGGGGTGAGGAGATTCGCATGAGAATCTTGATAACCGACTTACCCAAAGGATTGCGAGGTTGAAGTGGCTGTGGGCGAACATTGCTCTTAGAACAGATGACCGTTGGGGTCAAAAAGTTCTCGAGTGGCAACTGTGTACCGGAAGACGTAGTGTAGGTAGACCTCCCACAAGGCGGGCAGATGACCTGTTGAAGGTTTTGGGAATCCGCTTGATGCAAGCAGCCTAGGCTCGATCATTATGACGAAGCTTGAGGGAGGCCTGTGTCCAGTAGGAGACGTCTGTGGGCTGAAAAGAAGATTATTTGCTGACCAGGTGTTGAAAAAACGCATCCTCTTGCATTTGGCCGATAAGCGTTATCTAAATATGAAAACACATTTTGTACAAAGTGCTCCATCAATATTTATCATATGTTAAAATAATCCGCAAATCTATGTTAACGGATCGAAATTCATAAACTAATTAAGAAATACGTTACTTGATTATTATCAGTTAGTTTCATAACAATAAGTAGGTACGAAACTAGTATAGTCAGTGTTATTCAAGCGTTAACTTGCCTATGTCTTACAAACCCGATTGCTTGTTATACCTATTTGTAATCACAAATATATCTTTAATCCCACGAACTGTATTTTCCCTAAAAGAATTCTAATCTAATTTCAGTTGGACCGTCATCAGCATCCAGCTTACGATGATATAACATCCGCATTAGCGAATGTAACCGAACCCTATACTTCCGTGGCGATGAGCCATCCCTTTTCATTCCTCAACATTTTGCCTTACGATTTGAAGAGGTACTTTACTTACAAGGGCTCACTGACGACTCCGCCTTGTTCTGAAGTTGTCATTTGGTTGGATTTCGAGCAGCCTATTAGATTAACACACGATCAGGTATGTTGGTTACAAATAAGAATTGCTTTACCGCATGTCTGCGCAGTGGTATCCCTAGTTGAAGTTAATACAAATGAAGAATTAATGTCGTGCGCATATAGATTAAGCCCCTTGAAGTAAAACTCATGTTTATAGAAACAACTTTCTCGGCTTACAAATCTGAACGCAATATTCTTTGGGGTAAAAATTACACCCTTGACCCAAGCATTTTTTTTGTAAAGATTGACCCTTGAAACGCTTAAAGATATACCTGTGTATCTAAAATCTTTATGTGGTACATTTAGGCTCTGGAATGAACTTGTTCTATTAAATGTCTTATATGAAACAAGGTTTGGTTGAGAGAAGGTTTGAAGTTGTCGTGGCAATCCCGCAGGCAGGTTCCAATTTATCTAATGAAATATGTATTTAACAAATGTTCACGATTGACTTCCACGGTGAAGGAATATATATAAAAATGAATTGCTGTTCGTTAGTCTCGCTGAAACTCGAGAACGGCTGGACCGATTTGGCTAATTTTGGTCTTGAATTATTTGTGGAAGTCCAGAGAAGGTTTAAAAGGTAGATAAATATGAAAGTGCTTGGAATGAAATAAAAATAATAATTTTGTTTTCCCTTTGATGTGTCCCCCGTCGGACGAATTCCTTTAGTTTGTTTTAAGTTAATTTTATACCAAAGTTTACGTCTTTTATTTATCGATTGAGGCACCACGAAGTCTGCCGGGTCAGCTAGTCGTGTAATAAAAATCAAACCCGCAAATTATATTTTGCGTAATTACTGGTGGTAGCACCACTTGTGAGTCCGCACGGGTGGGTACCACTACCCTGCCTATTTCTGCCGTGAAGCAGTAAAGCCTTTCGGTTTGAAGGGCGGAGCAGCCGTTGTAACTATACTGAGACCTTAGAACTTATATCTCAAGGTGGGTGGCGCATGTACGTCGAAGATGTCTATGGGCTCCAGTACCACTTAACACCAGGTGGGTTGTGAGCTCGGCCACCCATCTAAGCAATAAATAAAAAAAAGGTTAAACTAGTCTATGATACCTCTTATTGAAATTTCGACCTCACGTCTCTAGTTAAATAGTGCCATTCAAATGGTAATATGTCCACTCAATCATTCTTCTGACCATATTTGATGACAGCTCCAAAAAATATTTTGGTGTGGTATACTAGTAATATACATATGTATATCTTTCATCGGCAATAAACCCCTTTTTGATTCTGATACTATGTCTCATATGAAGAATTCTGATCAGAAACTACTGAGATACCTACCAAAATACATGTAAATTAATATTTTCAGATAGAAACGTTTCGTGAAATCAAATCAGCACACGGAAAGATCACTCATAATTTCCGACCAATACAGCCAATCGGTGACAGAATTGTATTTTATAACATTGACAACAGCTACTTTAGTTACAACACTATAGATGAAGATGAAGAGGAACATAAAGACACGCATCCAAAACGAAAGAAGCATCGCAATAATGCACAAAATATATTAAGCAATTATACTTTAATTTTATGCAATGTCTTGCTTTTAGTATATGGTATTCACTTAAGTCCATTAATTTCAGAGGTCTCTTTCACGACTGATTTCTAAAATTAAAATGCAAAGGTGATTTTGCATAATATTTCGTTTTGACACTCGGATTTGTTAGCAGAGACCCAATAGAACTATGTAGTATTAGGGAAAATTATAAAGACTGTTTGTGTATTTTATGTGATAGTACATTCGCCTAAAATTTAAATCGACATTTTAAATCACCTTGTAACGCAATGTTAGTGGAGTTTGTGTGATTTGGTTGTTGTTCACAATTTTCACGTTTTTGTGTGGTTAAAAGATAAGGTTTTGTTGAAGATGTGAATAATAATAAAAAATGCATCATTATAAATTTGGAGATAGTTCTGTATACTTAAAATATTGTTTTATTTAAATTATGAAGTTTATTTTTATTTAATGCCATTACGTTTACGTATACAGGGTTTATGGGAACAATTCAAATCACCGTAGGCCTATTAAAATGTCTAGAACGACTAATGATTTAATTAGAATTAGTTTTGTGGCAACTAATTTATTATTATTAACATATAGTAAAAACTGTTAGAAAATTGTTCCGTAAAGTATAAATCTGATTATTACATGTACATATTTATCTATTTAAAAAGTGGTAGGAATAATTTATTATATAAATTAACAGACTAACGAGAGATATCGTTTACATAATGACTAGTATACTGTGATATTAAAATACTTTGAGATTAAATTAACTGTTTTATTAAAATAGATTTAGATATACATATCACTTGGTGTTTTGTGAAGACAAGAATGGTAAAATAATCTATCATGAGTGGCTTGTGGATCCTGTTGAAGTACTGATCATGAATCTGTATTTAAAATGCTCCACTCTTTAAATCAGATCCATATTCATGTTCATTTTTGTTCTAGTTTTTAGCTAAGACAAAGAGACTAATGGCACACTTATAAGTGAGCGTTTACCTAGACCCTTAACAAAACAACGAGAAAGCCAGTGCTCTCCTTGAGACATAAAGATAACTCTTTCATAATCAAAGTACAATAACTAATATACAAAAAGAAAAAGATTTAAAAGTCATCTAATTGCATTAGGAGTTCAGAGCTCACTGTAACATGAATTTTGCCATCCACCTGAGTTTGGAGGTCAAAATCAGAATTCTAAGGCTGTTCCACCCTTCAAACCTATAGATAAGATGATGTGACCCCAAATATATGGATCTTAATTATGCTTCATCAACAATACTTATACAAATTTAATAGGTTTAGAGTTTTTTTTATTACACAACTGACTTTCCACCTACAGGTTTCGCACAATAGCACAGTCATACCCTCGGTATTAATTCACTGGGCATCTTATCTTTTAGGTCACAACTACATTTAATATTTAAATCCACTTTTGCATGCTTTAAGTTTCTAATGTAAAATTATTGCAGGACACATATTTAGTCATCATCTGTAATGGTAGGTCGGTTAGCAGTCATTGTAATCATAGCACTTAAATTATCTTCATTTCCATGTTTCAATCTATCCCAAATCAATTCAGCTATGGCTCTCTGTGTCTTCCGTTCTAATCTCTCTAGCTTCTTGGCCACATCTCGTTTGAGGTCCCAGTCTGGTTTTCTTGGTGCTAAACTTGTTATGTCGAGATCCTGGAGAACCACCTGAAATTTTTTCCTATTATTAAATTGTTGTTTCCACGGACACTTGATATTAACAAATACAACTTGTTTCAGATAATTATAAATTTAAGAATTCATATAGATCATAGCAAATTGAAATTAACATTTAGAACATTAATCCATGTTTAATCTACGCATAAAATTTGTATGAAAGCATTTTTCATTAGGGGTGTCCATGTCCAAGTACTTATTTAATTATTTTTTTGATTATTTTGAATTTAATTTAGATGACTTAGTTTCGGTGACTACAACATGAAGTCAAATCAATTGATGGAAAAGCAGTGGCAGCTGTATCATTAAACTAACTTCCCAACTGTATTGTGTAGAAATTTTCTTAGTCAAGAATCATTGAGTTGTCAGTAAAACTGTAACAATTGTTTTAATTATTTTATCACCCCCACATCCAAGGAAAACATTATTATACAAATATTCTACTTCCATGAACATCATTTTACTTTTGAAGTATTTTACTAATTGTTAAAGTTTTGGGAGCAGTGGTTGTTTACATTATGTAAATATAGCTAATTGTAGTACCTTTTCTTTACCAGCCTCCAACAAATCTTTTACTTCTTCTTCTATAACTGTTGGTTCTGCATCACTAAGTTTGGATTCTTGTAATGCTTCATCTTGAGGCTTGTAACTTCTAAATTTTGGTCTACAATAATGATAGTTGGTTTTAAAAATAAATATCACAAACAAACATTACACAAAAAAAGAATAATAAGGAAAATAAATAGCTACAAAAATTATAGTCTGATTATTGTTTTATTTACCAGCAGCCATTAAATCATGCAAATTATTTAGTGGTATTATTCTTATGCCCACTTTTTATGATTGAAAGATTACTGGTGGCCCGAAGGCCCTTCCAGTTTCACCAGGACAGGTGGGCGAACAAAGGCTCAGCCAGGAGGGGTAGGATTTGCTAACAACTGTCCGAGCGCCTCCGAAGGAAAACTAACAACTCAAGAGCAATTGCTTCGCAAATGAATTTACTACCGGATCGGAATCATTCTGGTTCAGTGATTCAAGAAATTTCCCAGTATTTTACGAACGTCTTGGCTAGTTATTAAATCATCAAATACATTAATGCCATAACAAGCTATGAGCGTTCATTTTTTTTTAAATTTAATAATCCTTCACTAGTAAAGTTTTGTTTTTGAATTTACAGATTAAATTTTTTATAACTTACTTGGGCAGTGTCATTGTTTCATTTGTAGTATTATTTGATGTATTATCACTGTTTGTTCGTTTTCTTTTTAGATTCTTCAGTCTTTCTTTTCTTTTGAGAGCTTGCTCTTCTAAGCTACCGACAGATTCTGCACTGTCCATTATTACCATACTCCGCGGTGTTAGTACCTACTTAATTTATACACCCGAAAATAAGACTTTAGATTATTTATGATTTACACAGTAAAATTATAATTCAAATATGTATGCAGCAATCTGAAAATAGTGAAAATGCTTAATTTTTCAAATGTCAATTGTGTTGTCACTGTCAGTCAAAGCAATCAAAGTGATGCACTTTTTCAAAGGGATTTTATGACCTGGTAACTAAGACTTTTAGGTCAAGTCTTATTTTAATTTTAATGAAATTTTTTCTAAATGAAAAATGATATTATGAAATGAAATGAAGTTAATACGAAACATGACATGAAATTAAATCAAATTAAATGAGAGGGAATGATATGGGATGAAATAGAATCTCATTAAAATGGTGGTCATTTACTAAGATTTTTTGAAGGATCTCGAGAAGTTACCTTTTTTTTTATTTTTTTTTATTGCTTAGATGGATGAACGAGCTCACAGTCCACCTGGTGTTAACTGGTTACTGGAGCCCATAGACATCTATAACGTAAATGCACCATCCACCTCGAGATATAAGTTTTAAGGTCTCAGTACAGCTACAACGGCTAGCCCACCCTTCGGACTGAAACGCATTACTGCTTCACGGCGGAAATAGGCGGGGTGGTGGTACCTACCCGTGCGGACTCACAAGAGGTCCTACCACCAGTGATTACGCAAATTATAATTTTGCGGGTTTGATTTTTATTACACGGTGTTATTCCTTCACTGTGGAAGTCAATCGTGAACATTTGTTGAGTAAGTATTTCATTAGAAAAATTGGTACCCGCCTGCGGGATTTGAACACCGGTGCATCGCTACATACGAATGCACCGGACGTCTTATCGACGACTTCAAAACGTTCAGCGGCTTTGTTTCATTTTCCCACATTTTTGCACTATCGCAGATACTAAGCAGTTAATAAACCGCCGTTATTACACATTTAAACCTGAAGAAACACCTAGGCCTTTCCCAATTACAGCACAAGAGCATAATGCGACTCAGTGACGCACAATGCCGAATTATGCTGAAGCTAAGTTGAGCATTATGCCGCATAATGCGCCCTTGTGCTCTAATTAGAAAACGGCCATTAATAACGACGTAGTAAATTACGTTATAACATAAGAGAATTTGTGTTAAAGATATGAGCAACTACCTATTAGAATCCACTATAAAATCGTTAAAATAATACAAATATTCGTTTACATATTCATTTTAATTTATTCTTAATACATACATATTTTCAATAACACGATGTGACAATTTTTAATAGTAAGTACAGTACAATAGGTATATTTACATAATTTCTTACATTTCTAAGAATCTAAACAAAGGTATGAATGAATTAAAAAAATGGCTTGTAAATGTATGAAATATGTAGCATAAAATAAAAAATTAAGTATTCAGATCTACATCGAAAGTTAATTGGTTGGATTCCCAGTTACGATTTTTTTCTAATAACATTAGTTTAAGCTTTTCCAACTCCAACATCTTAAAGATAAATTATGAAATCAATACAATCAATACAGTCAACAGTGTCAAATAAATGTGCTATTTGAATTGTATTGTAAAATTTGTTTCCGTACATAATACACTGATCGTAATAAATGAACCACACGAAACAATTTTACAGCATTTTCTAGCCTTATAACATAATTGTAAATTATTTACGAGTGCATTAACTTTTAAATCTAACACAATCCAAGTTTTCAATTATTCTGGCCCGATGTAAGACCGCAAGAAAATTCAAATTCAAAGACTGTGAGTTTAGAAAATTCCGGTTTTTGTTTTGTGGTTAAACTAAATTAATTAGATTAACACTTAGGTACTAAATCTCTTGAAAGGGTTCCCAGTGCCATTTTTATAAACGGGGCTACCTTCCAAGTTATATTTATTGAGTTTATGCAAATTCTATAAATGTTTCTGGGCGCAAGATCATAAAAAAAGGAACATCTTAATAAATAAAAACTTGAAAACAAGCACATTTTTATAAGACAGGAAAGTAAATCAAATCTTATTTTGTTACAAATACCTATATCGAAATGTTTGCTATTTTTTTACATATATAGTACTTTCGACGGAATTTGAGCAAACTTCCCTCCATAAATAAAGCACTTATCATTTAATCATTTTCACACTAACATTCGATTCGTCGTCTTATATGATAAATTTAAATGTGATAAACTTAATTAATCTACCTACTTATGGCAGTTCGTAATTTAAAATTAAATAAATATTATCAATCTAAATATGTTTTTAATACGATTATTGCGATCAAAATAATAGAGAATCCGATCGGTAAATACGATCGAACTTATTATTTTTCTCTGAGTGTTTATATTTTTGTAATTATGTAATCGGATCTCTGCTTTTCTTTGGTTGCATTATTTATTAACTGTGGGCTTAAACATATTTTGCAGGATATTGGGAACGGTATTTTTCAAGAAGATTATAAAATATCTAATTTTCTCTCCAAAGCAATAAATCTTTTAGTTTAGATAAATGTGTTTACTTGTCTTCTACTGTCAAAAGGTAAACGGTTTGAAACATTATTCAATGGTATGCCATGATTTAGAGACAGAACTTTAGATACAATATTCAAATCTTCGTTGTGTCGTCCATTCAGTCCAGTTTGGAATAATAATTGCTTGAGCTCAAAATCTGGTGTAAATTGATTGGTTCTCGATTGCTGCGGGAAAAATCTGTTCGTGTGAACAGGATTAAAAGTATTGAAGCGATTGTAGTTTTGATTGTTGATTCCTAAGTTGCCAACACCTACCTCTTGGCGGAAAACACGAGTGTTTTGTTTAGGAACTTGTTGATTTGTGGAAATTTGGTTCAAGTTTAAACCTTGGTGAAAACTTTGCGTAGGGCTTGGTTGTAAAAACGTACCGATGCCTTGGGGTAGATGATTCTCTTGAAGTGGAAACTGGTGATTACGTAATTGTAAGAGAAAATCAACTGCTTCTCGATTTGGAAGCTGTTGCTGATTAGACACGGTTGTAGTTTGCTCCACAGGTACACTAGGCTGGACAGTTAAGAATGAATTTTGTGGACGTAAAGCGTTTTGATTAAACGATTGAGTTTGTTGAGAATTTTTCTGTACTGAAAAATTATTCACAGGATTATTCGACAGAATGTTTCGGTTTCTAGATTGGTCAAATACATTATTCTGTACTTGCTTGTTTTGTAGAAGAAATTGTTGTTTTCTCAATAGTTCTTCTTGTTGACTTTGCTGTAGCTGCAGGAGACGCAATTGCTCCTCAAGAATCCTTTGTTTTTCTTCCAACTCCTTTTGTAAAACGAACTGATGTGCAATAAATTCATTTTGAGTATTTATGTTTCTGTTAGGTAAATTGGTTGGCAATGGGATAGTTTGTCTCAGTGGTTGAGGTGTGAATACGTTAGGCACGATATTAGTCGGTGAAGGCCTTAATAGTTGTTGGCCATGAGTCTGTTGATAAAGTGGTATAACCTTTTTGGGAAGTCCATTAGCGTCTTGATGAACAGTGAAAGCCGCAACTAATGGCGCTTGATAGACCTGAACGTCCCTTTTGTCCACGTCTTCTATATTTTCACCATCTTCATTGTGCGTTGGTTTTGGAGTTGTAGTCGTAGTCGTGGTCGTGGTCGTTGTGGTCGTTGTTGAAAGTTTTTGCTTGAATGATGCCTTTTCGTCATTTTTGATATTTTGTAATGTTGAAGTCGGTATACTCCTTACTTGTTGTTGATTAATTCCAGAGGTTTTCGTTCGATAATAATCATTTATCGGAGATAGTGTAGAACGAGTAAGTGTTGCTTGATTTTCAACATTCCCAGCTGTTGTACTTAATATAGAAATGTTATTTTCCAAGACGGTTGGATTAAAGCTTGTGCTGTTTTCAAAAGCTGCCTGCCCATTTACGACAAACGAATGTATTTGGATACCTTCTTTAGCTGTCTGAGTTTCGGTGAAGTCTTCGTTTAGTTGAATTCCAGTGTTCGTGCTTAAAGGTCCATCGCTAGCGTCCGAGGCTGTTGTAATATCCCCACTTTCTTCAAGTTCACTAAGCGCTCTTAATAAAGCTTTCCTAATGTAAGGATCTAATCTAGCCGAAGGTTTCACCTCTATGTTATCCAATTTGTTAATGTCATCTGTTGATGTATCTTGCGCAGTAGTCAATGACAGCAACATGACTACGAAATATAACGCCGTCGTCTGAAAATAAACAAAGAAGAGATTATTGCCTGAAAATCATAAGTTTTTTATATTTTTTATTGCTTAGATGGGTGGATGAGCTCACGGTCCACCTGGTGTTAAGTGGTTACCGAAACGCATAGACATCTACAACGTAAATTTCAACACCCATCTAGAGACATAAGTTCTAAGATCTCCCGTTTTAACAGTACATCGAGTACCCCATTCTTCAAACCTTAAACGCATTACTGCTTCACTGGCAGAAATAGGCAGAGTGGTGGACATGTCTGTGCGGACTCACAAGACATCTTACCACCAGTAATTACGAAAATTATGATTTTGCGGGTTTGATTTTAATTAGACGATATTATTCCTTCACCATGGAAGTTAATCGTGAACAAGTGTTAGGTACGTATTACATTAGAAAAAATGGTACCTGCTTGCGGAATTCGAACACCGATGCATCGCTTGATACGAATGCATCGAGCGTCTTATCCTTTAGGCCACAACGACGACATGACGACAATATTTATTCTTATACTTGTCCCACTATAGAAAGGGACATCTGATACTTTAAATTTCTGTCATTAAGAGTAAGTAAGACGGATGGAAGGCATGCTTTTACGCCACCGAAAGCAATTTAAAAAGGAGGTTCCGGGTGGTTGTATTTCTAATTATGAATTTTGTATTTCACGATGATGCCTTTGTGAAAGTTGTTCACGACATAAGCACATTAATAAAAAAACGGAACCTTAAAATCCTAGACGTAGTATGACCTACGAATATACACGGAGACACACTACTGGTCTTGCTTACAAAAGCTTGATAAATGATCAATAATTTTAAACATTATCAAATTGGAAACGAATTAAAACAAAAAATTTGTCCGGCTCATTTGTATAGTGGTAAACAACTGTGACTTCTGCATCACTGTGTTCTAATTTGAATCTAAGTTCCTTTATAAGCAATCTTTGATAAATTTGTATGCATACTTGCTTGTTCTTGTTTTGTGAGTGTGTTCCAGCACACAAAATATATTCCTAGCTTGTGATGTAATTTATTACATCTACTAAAAGTGAATTCACCCATTACATTTTTTTTTTTTGTAAATTGCTCTACTTCCAGACATTTTACGAAAAATAAAATTCGTTTTTTTAAGAGTAAGTAGCTTTTTACATACGGATTTTTGTGTTTCATGAAATTGGTCAAGTCTTTAGTTTTTTTCAAATATTGGTGCAATAGCAAATATAAACGGCAAAAATTATAAAATCGACAATTTAAAGAGAAAAGTGCATTTTAACATGAAAAATGTAATTGTCAATGTCGATTTTCTCAATTTGTTGTCATATTATCATATTATCAGTAAATTTTCAAATGAAATGATTTTACTTTCGCCGAATCAAGTGAAAATTTCACAGCAAAGGCACTCAAGCTTATCGTTATAAATCTTCGCAATGTCCGTGAATCGAAGCGTAGTGAAAGTATGACCTTCTAGCTTATGGTTAAGAACTTGAACAATATTGTATCTGAGACAGTAATCATTACCTTACCATTTTTGTTTTTGTAAAAACGTTATTGGAACGAAGTTCCTTATCGCGCGTTGTGAAAGGGGGCTAGACGGAAAAAATTCTTACGAAAAGTTGTCACGACACTTTTTGCTATAAATTCATACGAAAAGTTGTCACGACACTTTTTGCTATAGTAAGCTATTGTAAGCTGTGCGGCGTCGCATGTTTCTCTGTCTGTCTGTCTGTCTCTCTCTCTCTCTCTTCATACCTCGAATAGAACTTTAAATTTATATTTTTATAATTGGGAACTTCGTTCCTATCCGGTGTCCCACGACACCACACATCTTTTTTTTAAATATATTTTTGACCATATTGACAAAATTCTATATTTTGCCTATGAATAACTACTGCAATATAATATTTTCTTCGGCATTCGCGAGTCGCAGACATAATTAAAACTACTGTTACGGTTTAATTTCATCGTCGCCATTGTTCGTGGCCACGAAAATCGTAAAGTATTTGTAACATTGGAAATAATTTAATGAAAATAAAAACGCGATTAAAAACATCAAAATTCGTTTTAATTAGAATCAATGTAATGTTTTAGTCTGTGGCCCCTCGTAACAAAAATATGTTTGATTATCCAAACGCTTTCACCATAATTTACGGGGTCGGCTTCTTACAGAATTCTTAGAGTCAATAACGCACCTACACGGCTCGTATAGGTATTATATAATTTTATGTACGTAGTTCTCACGAATAGCTAATTTATAAATCCTTTTAAAAGCAAAAACGTTATCGAAGCGTTTCGAAATGATCCATTGAGAATTTAAAAAAAACTTGAGTTTCACAATATATCTAACGTAGTTTCTCACTTACTGTAAATAGATAAACAGGCGTTATTTTTACGCATAAATATCTCATATTAATAATTTTCTAAGCAAATTTAATTACTGCTCTAATAGTTCACGTGTATCTATTAACAGTTTACTTTCAACAAGTTACCAATCTTGAAAACTTACGCAAGAATCATAAAAATACACATTTGAATACTAATGGTTCCAAATGATAGTACATAATACTGCCGAAATGTTCATTTTATAATAGGTTTTTGTTATTAATTAATATCACAGAGCTGAAGGTAGGCAAAAGGCAGACTGGATGTTGTGTGACATTTTATTTGTTTTTCCTCATCATAAGCTGATGGAGCTTAAGGCTTATTTGATCGTAAGTGATTGCTATCTTTCATGAACATTAGCAATGTTAGGGAGGGACAAAGCCAAGTATCTGCCTACTGTTCAAAATTTTTCTCCAATCAGTACTATTGCCTATTACTGGATTAAAATTTGATAGTTTTAATATAATAATCATATTATTTTAAATAAAAAATTAAAACTATTAGAGCATATTGTATGTAATTATACAAATATATTCCGTCTTATGAGCGGTCTGGCTCAATATTATGCATATTTTTGTTAGTACACGTAGAAACCAAAAAGCTCTTTGAATCATACGATATTTATGAGAATAGCTTACACAATCACATATGTACTACATGCCCATAAAGTATTGTACAGCTTCAAATTCTGATAGATATGAAGGCCGAAAATCTGATCCAAGTGAACAGCCTCAAAAAAGATGATTCGAATATAAGCTAGCCGCTTCGTTTCCAGTGTAGAAATAATTGAATTTTGTGCATTTCACAGTTCGGATAATAATCACGGACTTGTGAAAGTGTATTGCTCATTAGCATAAAAACACGCCGAGGAGTTAATTTCAATAAGATGCATTTGCGTGCTATATAATGTGATAATGATAACATTTCAAGATCAACTATTTTAAAATCACTATGATTATAAATATCTAATGAATCTTCGCCTGTACATGAAAGGTTGCATTGTTATTAAGTTGAGAAGAACAGTAGAGTTCTGTTGCCCCGGGCGATAATGTCTTTTCTATAATTCAATTTTTATGATTCTTCTGAACTTTCTACTTTTTAATTGTTGAATGACAATACAGCGTGTCATAAACTTGCCTGCTAAGTGTAAGGTGATAATAACATTGGTTATAGCTTCCACAAAACGCAGGTCATCGACATCCAAAACGGAAACATAACAATCTTACGAAATACACAACCGGTATGGTCTTATGCATTGTTTCTGTGTGAATTGAAACAGTCGTGTTTTTTTAGGAATTGTTTAATAATAGGGGCTAAGAGAAGGAATACCCCGAAAAACTACCCCATACATTTTTTTCAAAACTTACTGCTTCCAGTATTTTCTTCGTTTTTCACGAGTCACAGATATAACTAAATATAGGTACTTTTACGGATTAATCACACGTTTTTATGATCATTCTATTATTTTTGACGTAACGAATATTTTATAGTTTCCGTGGTCACGGGTGACTGATTCTGATGATAAATCAAAATCTCGTTATAAAGTGACTGTCATATTAGCAGAGCTAACTCAAAATCTTCAGTATGTTAGTGGAAACCATCAAAAGATTCTTGCATACACGACAACGACGTCGACGATAATTTACGCACAATGGTAGTATAATTATATAAGCGTCATTGTCAACAAAGCCGGAATTTCGCTTTCTATGGTTAGAGAAGATTACTTTTGTTACATCAAAAGGATTTTGTGTTAGCTATCGATCGATTATTGACAAAGGTATTCATTCGCATTGAAAGCATGATTTATTTAATAGCTCAATGGACGTAAGGTCGATTTTGCTGTGTAAAGAAAATTATTCCTTTTTTTTTTTTTTTTTTTTTATGATTGAAAGTTTACTGGTGGCCCGAAGGCCTTTCCAGTTTCACCAGGACAGGTGGGCGAGCAAAGGCTCAGCCAAGAGGAGCGGGATTTGCTAACAACTGCCCGAGCGCCTCCGAAGGAGACCTAACAACTCAAGAGTAGCTGCTTCGCAAATGAATCTACTACCGGATCGGAATCGCGACCCACTGAGAAGATCCGGCGAGAAANTTATGATTGAAAGTTTACTGGTGGCCCGAAGGCCTTTCCAGTTTCACCAGGACAGGTGGGCGAGCAAAGGCTCAGCCAAGAGGAGCGGGATTTGCTAACAACTGCCCGAGCGCCTCCGAAGGAGACCTAACAACTCAAGAGTAGCTGCTTCGCAAATGAATCTACTACCGGATCGGAATCGCGACCCACTGAGAAGATCCGGCGAGAAACTCAGCGGGCTGATGCATGGGTTAGGTTGCACGTCGACCTCTTTGTCGAGTTCGACGAGTACGGTTACCAAAAAATTATTTCGTAAATCGTTACGTGTATATTGAAATTTTAAGGCTTAATTACTTGGCGCTTATATGTCACTAAAATATTTTATTAAATTTATGAATAGTCAATTGTTCAAATCTACAGCACAATGAACTATTTTAGTTAAGAAAACAAATACTAAATATAGTTTTTCGTAACTTATAAGTCTCGTGAACTTTGTCATTGCGCAAATATGATGCGATACAATTATGATTCTATTACAATTATTTGC